CAAAAATTTAAAAAGGATATATATGTTTAGATCTATTATAAATATTATTTAAAGAGCTTTTACTATATATGCAAATATTTGATTAGAATATTATATATAATGCATATAATATAAATAGAATACATCACGTGAGCAACTAGATTTTTTACACTACATTGAGTATATCATGTCACACACACATACACACACATGTATATATATATATATATATATAATAATAATAATAAAACAAAAAAAAGATGGAGCAAATCATTTGCTTGTTTGAATTCAAAGTTGTAAATATTGTATTATATTATTACAACAAAACAAGAAGAAAAAGGTGGAGCAAATCATTTGCTTGTTTGAATTCAAAGTTGTATTATATTATTTTGGTAAAATTGCCTACAAGAGAAAAACGGTGACTCCATGTTTAAAAAAAAAGAAAAGTTAGTTTTGCTTTTATCATTTTTTCAAACATTATCATTTGCTGTCTATTTGAAATCAAAGAGCGTGCCCATGTAATCCATGACATCTGCAAGGAACGTCCTACTTCCAACGAGTATATTTTTGGATATAAAAAGAAGTGTTGTGTGTGGAAAAAAATCAAGAACTTGAAGAGAAAATTTTAGTGTGCCCTAAAATTGAGTATCTATGTGTAGTATTTGTTCTTACACTTTTATATCTAGTCTTTGTGAAAGAATTATTGTAAAAGAAGGTTTAAGTACCATTTATTTTTATTCATTATTTTTGTGAGAGATTTTTATAAAGGTAAGACATTTATTATTGAGTGAGGCTCAATAGATAAGACTAAGTCCTGTGCAAAATCCACAAGCTTGGTGAAGACTTTGTGGTGTATTAATTCAGTTTGATAGTAAATAAATTCTCAAGGCGGTTCCTTGGGGAGTGGACGTAGGCTTGGCGTGCCGAACCACTATAAATCTCAGTGTTTGATTTTCTCTCTCTATCTCTTTTACTTTTATATTGGTAATTATTATTCTGTTTTTTATTTGTTAAAATTTTGAATATTGTGTTTATAAATTTTAATATTGTAAAATTTTTTAATAACCCAATTCACTCCCTTTCGGGTTGCCTACCTGGGATAACATTCTTTATTTGAGAGTTGTTTTAAGCGATTGATTGTTATTCAAGACATGAGAAAGAGACCTCCTATGTTCAATGGCTTAATCTCTTCAGAGGTTCATCGTCAAGGCATAGCCTCTCTTTCATGCTAAGGATTAATTCTTTTTTTATATTTCTCTTCATTTAGTGGACTTAAATATCACTTTGGGACAAAATGATTAAAGAATGGAAATGAAAGTAAAAAAGGACTAATAAAATTGGCTTAAAATCAATGAAACCGACATAAAGAAGATGGATAAAATTGGTTGGATTTGGCCGGACGTTATGTCGAGTCCATCGCGTCAAGAGTCATCACATATTAATTCATGATATTTTGATGAATTTTGAGGTGTGTCTACTTCTCTCCTTAAACTAACTTCATGATAGGAGGGAAGAGTGGTGTGTCTCTCATTGCATTCATTAATTTATGTCCCATCGTGTCCAAAACCATCACGCAATCAACTTGCGACCATTGATTGTTTCGGAACCAAATACGCTCTTCTCTTGAGTTTCTCTATGATAGAACAGAACAGAAAGGACAAACATGGCTTAGAATTGCTCTGTTTGCACTGTTTTCATCTAAGAGCGCAAAAAACATTTTTCTGCAACAAAATAAGGCACGGCCGGATCTGTTTGGGCCCGGTCAGGTCTTATTGGGGGACGGTCGGGCTCCAATGTGTGGTACACAGAGCAGTTTTGAGAAATACACAGTAGTGACTGAGGGTGAACATAGGGCAGTTTCCCAACAAGGCAGACTGAACAGTTTCTTAGGAACATTGTGTGTAATCATTGGTTTATTTCTTGGATTATTGTAATAAATTAGTTAGTTATTTATTATTCATTTGGTCGGACTTGTAATAGGTAGTTTATTCGGACACTAGGACATTCAGACCCTCTTGCATGAGGGCAAAATATGTAATAATTATGTATGTCTTCCAACCTCCATTTCTTTCTCCCTTTTATTTACTCGGTTATGATGGGTAGCATAGAGCATCATATTACTTAGCATTTTTCATGACTTGCAACCATTTGTTTTGCATGCATACGGGTTCGGTTCATCATACTAACCAATATCAATTTCAAATTCTTTTCTCGAATACGTGCTGCATTGCATGCCTTGAATTGAATCACATGTCATGTTAATAGCCGAGCTTATTATTTGCATAATGTGTGCGTTGCATTAGTCATTTTATATCGTTAGGATCATGCATTTTTTCTAATCATTTTATTTCTTGTGGCTTGCCTTGGAATACTAGGTGAGCATTTATTGCCTTAGCATATTGCATGTATGTTTATGTTGCCATATCGAGTATGCTTTCCATGAGGCTAAGTGTTTAAGTGATATACCTGTTTGAATATTGGTGGATGAAGGCCTTTTTACTTAAGTTGGAATAATTTGATTAAAGTAAATACGAGCTCGCTTTTTCAAGTGACACGTATGCAAAATATTTTTTTCAAAACAAACATAAAATCTATACATTCCAAATTTTGTGAATTGGTCTATATTTGTGTGCATCACCTAGTAAAATTAGCCTAATAACTATAACAAAAGCATATAATGTAAATAAAAATCACATCATGATTAATAGAGGCCAATCCTTGATCGGGTGAGTGAAGTGCTCAATTCATGATCTTCCCCTCTCATACCTAAGTTTTCGAGCCGAGACACTTTGGTGATGACGGACTAATAACCTTTGGCACGAGTCATGAGTTTCCTAAATTTTCCAAAAATATTTAGGTGGCGACTCTGAAATTTGGCAAAGCGGTCCATTTTTGGCCTTTTTGATTCAAAATCGATTTTCCAAAAGATTTGTCGGATTTGGACTCATTTGTGTTTATCTATTTCACATTGCACTTGTAAAACCAGATTTAGAACCACGGGAGTACGAACTATAGGGCTAATCGTATTCGAGAGGAGCACGAAAAGCAAGCAACAGCTTCCAACCTCCTCCTCCCTCTTTGTCCATGATAATCCCTCTACTTGTGCTCGTGTTTTGCACTCTAGGTTGCTGCTTTATCGTCTCTCTGTTGGTCATCATCATCAAAATGTAATAATATGACATGATTTACATTTCTCGTTTTCATCAACTTCTCAACTCATTTTTATTCTTGTATGCAATAATAGATAAGAACAATCCCATATAAGCACAGATCAAACAAGTGAAGTGTAGAAAACATTGGAAGAAGAAGAAGAATGTTAGAGACTTAGAATGTTGGAAGAAGATGAAACTTGGAATTTTCTCATTTTCAAGTCTACACTGGTGAAAAGCAAACAAAACAAAATAAAACAAATTGACAACAAGCTTTATGCTTTCACTGCCAAGCCCCTGAAGAGCAAAATGGCAAGGCTGCCAACGCAAAAATAGATGATAGAACCATAGCAGTGAGTCACAAATGAACCAAAGTCTGTCCCCACGATGCATTGCCATCCCGATCCATATGTCGTATCAAATTCCTGCGTCAAACACCTGGCCACAGATTAATAAGAAGCCATACGCTATAGCAATTCTCATGTAGAGAATTCAATCACAAAAGCTAAAGCAAAAATACACACAACACTCAGGTACACAGAATATTCACATGTTTTGTAAGTGTTCTATGAGTGTTTTTTTGTATTACTTTTCTACGGTTGAATTGCATGGATAAAAAAAAAAGGGGACCTTCCTGGCATTTTCAAAATAAGTAATGCTTCTCTTCAGTCCATCAAAATGGACTGGACGGTGCAATTTATTTTCTGTGGACGACTCACTTTGATAATATAAATCGTTCATTTTATAGTGTCCGCTGAATAAATTATCAGTGCAAAACATGAAGTTGATCGGACATCAATATCAACATAATTCGATAACAAAATCATGCAAAAAAATAAATAATAAATTTAGATGGCAAGTCATGCAAAATAAACGGAACGGTTTTGTCCATTTTCATGGATTTGAGCAAAGCCTTCCCTTTTTTAATTCTAGAAGAAAGTTAAAAAAAAAAAAAAAATTCAACAAAAAGCCTTCCCAATATATATATATATATATATTTTGATTGGCACTGGGGTGTCCGAATCAAAACCCGACTAATCTCTAGAGGTGCACAGGTCCTCGACAAGAAGTTTCCTCTGAGTGTACCACAGTTAATTCAAAAGTTTTCTCCCAATCTAACGGCCCAAAAAATTGTTAGCACCTAAAAAGTTTTGATTCCTGAACTTTGGAAGGAGTACATCTCCAAGAATCAAGACCTTACCACCACGCCAACCCTTGGGTCCTAGTATTTTTCCTGGTGTTTCACAAATCCTGACAAAAGCTAGTGTCAAAAACATCCCCAACCTTTATAAAAGTCAGTTAAAAAATGTTGGTGTTCATAGGAGTCTGAGAAATAGTTCACCATTGATCGAAAAATCAACATATAATTTCCCTTAGTTGCATATCAACACAATTCAACATGTTATATATATACCTTTAGGAAAATGAGTGAGAGCACTAATTAGTACTACTACTAATGATGTGGGAGTGAGCCCCACCATGAATGATTTGATGTTTTGGTCTTGGTGTTGTATTTTTTTTCTTTTTTTATTGAGTGCCATGTCATTAGTAATCTTTTTAGAGCTCCAAAATTAGTGGTCTCTATCATTATTGATACCTTTATGAAAAAAGAGCAAGAGCTCTAGAGTTGCTCTAATGATGTGACAATTGTGTGGGTTCCACATTGATGTGATATTTTGGCTTAACTTTTTTTTTTTTTTTTTTTTTTGAAACTGTCAAAGCAGTAGAGCTCTACTTTTAGAGCTACCAATCACTGCTGATACCTTTATTTTATGAGGGAGAAAAATAAGGGTCAGCTTTACTAGACTGCTACAAACTTGGCTACAGAGACTAGACTAGCAAGTATTTGTTTTTGGTGTAAGTGTACTATACCTGCTTTATGAAGCGGCCATCTGAGTGGGCTCAGTGACATCAAAGAAGTCAAGTGCTTTTGCTGCTAACTCAAGTGCCACTAGTTGCATGGTCTGAAGCATGTCAGTCTCACCTATGACTGCCTTGCCTTCAAGCATGGTGACTTGACTATGTATACGAGAAGAAACTGTATGTAGTAGTTCTTGTGTTGGTGACTATACATATATGGGGAGTCAAGAATGAAGAGATCAAATATAGAATAAGCTGTGGATATGGAATTGAGATGGTCAAGCTGTGGATATGAATCAAAGAGTTGTTCTAAGGGGTTAATATATTATATGCTTTGTATTATGCTTCAAGATTCATGTGCTATTATGAGATTCTCAATGATATAATAACTGTTATGTGTCTTGACTTGAGAATATTCTTCTTTTTTTAAGATACTCATAGCTGTGAAATTGAAATTATGTTTCAAGATTTGTGTGTCTTGAAATTCTTGATTTTGATAACTCACAAAAAGATTTGAGAAAGAGAGGATGATTGGTTGGAACTAGTAGAGGAAGGGTTGGTGCTAGTGGGTGTCTTGTTTGTGGTTCATCATCACAGGTTCAGAAACTGATGGACCATGACCATCTAATAGTACAGACAAGTCAAGTGGGCTCAGGGCTTTTCCATGGCTGTGGTGAAGCAGCCAACTGTTGCATGATGAGGGTAAAACAGGAAAACCCTATGCACTACAAAAAATTTACTCAAAAAATAATTTTAAATTTATGGTGTACATTTAAATTTCATATTGTGGGGTCAAACCTTGAATGAATCATGTTGACAAATTTTAAACCATAGGTATTTTTTTGAATTATTTTTTTGGTCTAAATATGTAATATTGTTGGTATAAAACACAGAATATGATTGTATTTGGAGGATTTTCTGGTCCCAAATTTATCCTTAATCTGTAGTGGACTATATGCGATGTGTTGTTGGTTGGTAAGATATCAAAGGTGGTGTTTGGCAAGTTGGGTTGGGGCTAAAATAGCCACAAAAGACAAAACAGGCTATTTTAGCCACAACAAACAAAACATCACATCCAACCCATAATCATTACACTCTTCTCTCACAAAAAAAATCAAAAAAAAATTTTTTTTTTTTATTCTTTTTTTTTTTTTTTAAATATTAAATAATCCAACTATCAAAATTTTTTTACTCAATGTTATTCCTCTCTTCTTTTTTTTTTTTTTTTTATAATTTTTATTTTTTTTTTTTTTTTTTTTTTTTTTTTTTTTTTTTGTTTATAACTTATATATATGTCGTACACTTTCCTTTCTTAAATCTAACCGTACCAGATAAATCAGTCATTGATTATTGATAAGTAATGAAATAACAAGTAAATTTTCAATTTAATTAAGTCTATACGTAACATAAACAATTTGATCCATCATCTTTTTAAAAATTATTTGTGATAAATAAATAAATAAATATATATATATATATATATAATACAAGGCTTCTTTTTGAATTAGATAAAAAAAACTAACTTATTGACTAAAAATAACTCTATAAAAACACTACTGCTAAAAAAATTAGTTTATTGGCACATCCCTAACTTTTTAATTTTCCTAATATCTTTTTAGAGTGGTTGAAGTGGATTTTTTTGGTGAGAAATGAATTTTCCAGATTAAGAGTATAATTTTTTTAATCAATAAGTTAATTTTTTTTAATATATATATATACAAACAGAGAGAGACTTGCATTACACATCGAGTAAGAAATATTCAAAGCCTTTCTCGGCATTTCCTTTGCCACCTTTCTCTCCCCACCACCACAACCACCGCCCCAATCCCTCTCTCATCATATCGGACTTCTCTTTCTTCCAAAAATCTTTATTTCATTTTTGTCTCCATTTCAATCAAAAAACAAAGAAAACACTGATACATCCTCTCCCTTCCAGCGAGCCAACCCACCACCACAACTCCCAACTTTGAGGCCTGAGACGACGTCGCATGACGCAATGCCGTGCCACCTCTTCTCTTGCTTTGGCAGAAAGACCTCTTCCTCAAAGAAGGAAGCCTTGGAGAACCCCACCGCGGATATGACCCCGGCGGATGAGGGAAGGAGAGGTGCAGTGGTGGTGGAGCTCTTCTCGTCGCAGGGCTGTGGCACCTCCCCGGAGGCAGAACTGGTGCTGTCGAGGCTTGGGAAAGGGAACTTCAACCTCGAGGTGCCAGTGATCGTGTTGGCCTACCATGTGGACTATTGGGATCATGTGGGGTGGAAGGACCCATTTGGGTCCAGCCTATGGACGGTTAGGCAAAAGGCTTACGTGGAGGCCTTGAAGCTTGACACTATTTTCACGCCTCAAGTTGTGGTACAAGGTACGGCCCAATGCGTTGCCAACGATCAGGAAGCCATTCTCTCCACCATCGCGTCCGTATCTCCATTCCCTGCTCCGATACTGCAGGTTAGTATTATTATTTTTAGCCATTCTCATGCCCTGCAATTAAACCAAAAGCAAAAACACTTGTAAATCTAAGTTGGAGAACATACCTTTATATGGATATGATATGAACAGGCAACATTCCAGAGGCCTTCAGCAGAGACCCTGCAAGTCTCTGTAACAGGGACTTTAAGGTCCAAGGTGGACAGCAATGGCGCCAATGTCATGGTGGCTCTGTATGAGAACGGTCTGGTTACTGACTGTACCAAGGGGGAGAACAAAGGCAAAGTCCTACCCAACGACTTCGTTGTTCGCAAGCTTGAAAAGCTCTGCTCTGTTAAAGACATCTCTGCCAAGAAAACAGTTTCAGGAACTGTTAATTGCTTTCTATGGGAAGGTTTCAACAGCAACAAATGTGGCGTCGCTGTCTTCATTCAACAGAACGGTTCTCATCATATTCTCGGAGCTCAGAATTTTCAACTGCCGGAGGGTTTATAAGGTTTACTAGCTTGTGTGTTCTAATGATTAAAATTCTGGGCATGGTTAGTAGAAAAGTTGTCGAGGGATTTCCTTTGGGAAGGTAAGGATGAAGGGAAGAAGGATCATTTAGTGAATTGGAAGATAGTTTTATTACCAAAAGAGAAGGGGGGTTTGGCGATTGGTAATATTTCGACTAGGAACCTGGCCTTAATTGGCAAGTGGTTATGGAGATTTCTAACTGAGAATGATTCACTATGGCATTCTGTTAGTAGAAGCAAGTATGGGATTCATGATACTGATAAGGATTCACAAATGGTTATGAGGGGTACTTGTCGTGCTCCTTGGAAGTCAATTTCTCACATCTATCCACTTTGGTCTTGTTATCTTTCAATGAGGGTGGGTAATGGGGAGCTTGTTCGATTCTAGGAAGATGTTTGGGTGGGATCCTCTTCTTTTGCCTCAGATTTTCAACATTTATATAGAATGGCTCGATCTCACAATTGTTTCGCTGCTTCCATGGCTTGTTCATTTTTTGCTCCAATTTCTTGGAATTTCAACTTTTCTAGAAATCTCAATGAAAGGGAGACTGTGGAATTGACATCTCTCTTGTCAAGACTTGATCTTTTTTCTTTGGTTCTTCTTTTGGAAGATAAGAGCATTTAGGCTCTTCATTCATCGGGTATCTTTTCTTGAAAGTCCTTTTTTGATAAAATCATTAATAATCCTCAAGTTCTCAATTTTCTTTTTGTAAAAGAATTTAGAAAGCTTGTGTTCCTCTTAAGGTGAAGGTGTTCATGTGGTCCTTGGTTCACGGAGGTATTTTGACAATCAATTTCTAAATCCTCAATGGTGCATTATGTATTGTAAGGATGGTGAATCCTTGGATCACTTAGTTTTGTATTTTCTAGTTGTTTTGAGCTTATGGCAAAGATTGTTTCTTTTGAGAAATGTTATGTGGGTAGCCCCAAAAGGTGGTGGGCACATGCTATTAATTGACTTTTGCACTTTGAGAGGATCGAAGAGGGCCAAAGTACTTTGGTATTGTGTCGTCTTTGCAACTTTTTGGGTTTTTATGGTTGGAAAGGAATGCGTGGGTTTTCGAAGATAAATCTCGAGATATGGATTTTTTGTGAGAAAAAGTTTGTCAGTTAACTTCATTTTGGGTTTCGGTGACTCCTCTCTTTAGGGGGATTCCACTGTTTTTGTTAGCTAAAGATTGGTTATCGGTGTGACATAGAGAGTTTTTTTGGTGCACTCTTGTGTTTGGGTTTTGTATTTTTACTTTGTTTTGTTCTTACTTTTAGAGGATGTCTTCTCCTCATTTCTTACTTTTGATTAATCAATAAAATTAATCTTTGTTGTTGATCCCCACAAAAAAAAGAAAAAAAAGAAAAGAAAAGAAAAGAAAAGGTTTGAATAGCTTGTTTGTTTTTAATATGATGATATTGCAGCCAAGCTTTCAAGCTGTTATGTACATAATGTTTTCAGAATTAGGTTAATGGCATTTTTTATTTATTTTATGATCTTTCTGATTTTTAGGAGGAGAGAGTTTTTAATGTTAAGAAATTTCTTCATGTGACTTGGAAATTTATTTATTTTTTTGGTTGATAAATAAACAACCTTTTTATTGAGAGGGCATCAAGACGACGCAAAGAATACAAAAACTAGCCTCACAGCTAGAAGCAACAAAAACCAAAATTGCACTAAACATCAAGGCAAAGAGCAATGAAGACTACTACTGAATCAAGTCCCCTACAAAATCAACAAAAGACAAAACATCTCGGTCCACTGTCAACGATATCCAACTGTGCAACACAATGAACAAACGCCGTTCCAACCAAGTTACTGTGCGCAACTCCCCTAAGAATACCCTCCTATTATGCCCCAACCAAACTAGCCATATAAGACAATGACCAACCATTATCCATGCCTTCCGCCTTCTCTTCCCAACCCTCCCTCCAACCCAACTTTGTAACACCGCCCTCACTGTCCCCGGTTGAATCCAAGCCAAATTAAAGATAGCAACTATAGACATCCAAAAGCGTGAAGCAACTAGACAACAAATAAGCAAATGGTCCACCGTCTCTGCAGCTCCACAACACATGCAACACCAATTCAACAAAATATGCCCACGACGAATCAAGTTATCAATCATCAAAATACGTCCTAACGTTGCTGTCTACACAAAGAAAGCGATTTTGGACAGACAACCCACCACCCAAACACTTTTCCATGGGAATGGCACCCCATCCCCTTCCGTAAGCCTATGATAAAAAGAAGAAACATAAAATACCCCTTCAGACTTCGGGCATACCAATCTCATAAAATCCTCTCCAACCCCTCCAAACCGAAGACTGTACAAAAAGCCCAACAGATCCAACAATTGTCCCACCTCCCAATCCTGCACTTCACGACGTAACCCAACATTCCACACCACTACTTAGCCTTGCATTTGTGCATAACAATCCACTGTCGCCTCCCAATCAATCACAATACGAAAAATCAATGGGAACATCACCTCCAATAGGGACTTGCTACACCATTTATCCTGCCAAAACCGAACCCGGTCCCCCACCCCTTCCGTAAAACTTACTCTCTTCCAAAACTCCTCCTGACCCAACCAAATACCTTTCCACAAACTGTGCCCATACGACTGTCTAACCTCCTCTGTACTCTAATCCCCCCATCTAACCCACGCCACAACCTCTCTCTCTTCACCCCAAATCGCCATAACCACTTCCCCAAAAGAGCCAAATTAAATGAAACCAAACTCTGAATCCCTAACCCTCCCCATCACCTAAGGAGAACAAATTTGATCCCAAGCTATAAGATGATAATGGAAAGACTCAGATTCCCCACCTCATAAGAAATCCCTCTGTAGATTCTCTATCCTCTTTGCAAAAGACACATGAATGACATGAACTAACATAAAATAAGTCGGAATGCTCGAGAGGAAACTTTTAATCAGTGTGACTCGCCCCCTCCTTTCGATATATATTGCCGCTTCCATTTTGCCAAACGACGCTACACCCTGTCCACTACCCCATCCCACGCCTCTTTTGCCTTGAAAGAAGCACCCAAAGGTAACCCCAAATAAGTTATGGGCAAAGCCACAATCTTGCACCTCAAAATAGCTGCCAATATTGATAGACGTGCCACTTCAACTGAAATCATCTTTGACGTCCCCAAATTCACCCGAAGCCTCGTGACCGCCTCAAAATAGAGAATAACACACCTCAAATATCCAACTCCACCATCCTCCGCTCCGCAAAAAATAAGAGCATTATCTGCATAAAACAAATGAGACACCACTAAGCTTGTTAACAAACCCCTCAAAGCTTGTTAACAAACCCCTCTGAACCGCATTGGATAACAAATGCCCCAAAGCCTCCATAATCAAAATAAACAATAATGGAGACAAAAGATCTCCCTGCCGCAAACCCCTGTCAGTCAGGAAAAATCCTACTGGTTTCTCACTCACTAGGATAGACATCCTAGCCATCGATGTACAAAACTGAATCCACTGCCTCCACAATTCCCCAAACCCCATTCTCTCCAACATATACATCAAAAACCGCCAGTTTACATTATCATACGCCTTCTCAATGTCTAACTTGCAAATAATGCCAGCTTGTCCTAGCCGAATCCGCGAGTCAACACACTTATTTGCTACCAACATAGCATCCAAAATCTGACGCCCACCCACAAAGGCATTCTGGGACTCTGACACCAACTCCTCCAAAACATCTTGCAATCTGTTAGCCAAAACTTTTACCCAAAGCTTGTACACACTCCCCAACAAGCTAATGGATCGAAAATCCCTTAATATCCTCCGCCCCTCCTGTCTTTGGAATTAAAGCTATGAAAGTGGCATTAAGACTTCTTTCAAACTGTCCTGTCTAATAAAATTGAGTAAACAAAGCTAACACATCTGTCTTTACCACTTCCCAACATTGCTGGAAGAAAAGCATAGTAAAACCATCCGAACCTGGTGCCTTGTCCCTAGACATTTTCTACAAGGCCCCTAAAACCTCATCCTCTGAAAATAGCCTCTTCAGCATCTGCCTATCCGCCTCTAAAATAGCATAAAACTGAACACCATCCAACTCGGTCTTCAAGTCTCATCTTCTCCCCAAAACAGGTGCTGATAGAAGCTCACTATGCCCTCCCTCACCTCCTCCATTGATGATAACAACACACCGTTAACCCGCATCTTCCCAATTTGATTCACCCGATGATGAGCACTCGCCATACGGTAGTATTCCGATCCCCATCTTTCAACCACAAACATCTCCATCTTTGTCGATAGCTAACCTCCTCTATGTGAGCCACCTGGCCATACTCCTTTCTCACCCCCTCAAGGGCCGCCAAATCCTCGTCAATACTTCCTTTTCATCCAATCCTTGCAATACCGCCAAAAGATTAGTCTTCTAAGTTTTCAACTGACCAAACACCTCCTTATTCCACCTCCGTAAGTTCGCCTTTAGAAGCTTTAATTTTTGAGCCAACCTGTTGCTGGGATTTCCCATCACGTCATAACCTTCCCACCACGACTGAACTGTATCCACAAGCCTTGCTGACTGCAACCACATATTTTCAAACTGAAATGGCACCTAACCACTCCGAATCCCACCACTATCCAACAGCACTGGCCAATGATCAGAAACAGGACACTCCAATCTTCCTTGACCCACTTGAGAAAAGTGCTCCTCCCAATCTCTAGAAATCAAAAAACGATTAGACGCAAAAACACCCGGCCTCCAAACCAAGTGAAGCTACCTCCCTGCATCGGTAAATCAATCAACTCCAGGTCATCTATCAACAAAGAGAAATCCCGCATAGATCCCTCTGTTGGGCCCAAACCCAATTTCTCCTCCGAACGACGCATCACATTGAAATCCCCCTACACACCATGGTGCCGACCACCGAAAAGCAATACTCTGTAATTCTTCCCAAAAGAAAGCCCGCTCTCAATCCACACACATTCCAAGAAAAGATTTTTAATTGCATGGCAATAGTGAATGGCTAGCACGCTTATTCCTCACAACCCTACCACCTTCTTATGACCGCCTATCATAATTAACAATGCACTGTAAGTTCTGCAACTCTCTAGCACCCTTTCCCTTTTGCCCAACAACTTGTATCTGTTTCCCCATAAGAGCACTCCCCCTCCACGATGCCTCTATGGCCGAAAACAGCCTCATTGCTTCTTTCTCATGCCCAACAAATGATACCCAAAGTAAAGAACTTACCTCCTTCATCTGTGACAACACCCAAGTAGACACCTCTCCCGGACCTGGAGGCTCGCCTCCTTCAAAACCAGTTGCCGTTGTCTTTTTGTTAGTCCCAACCTCTACGGCATCAGACTCCACTGTTTCCATCGCTAATAGTAGCAGAACCAGAGCAAATTTTTGCCCTCATCAACCCATCAACCTGCTGTTGCACCACATTCCATCCCAATTCCAGAGTCGACGTTGCAGCCCAGCCACTCTCCCTCCTCATCGCGAATATCAGATCGCAAAACTAGCATCTGCTGGATTTAAATTTTTCCTTTGGATTTATTATCAGGTGGTGGAAAGTTGAGGATGGACAATTTGTACTCTAATTTTTCAGTTTTAACTTTTAATATCTTGATGTTTTTAGAATACTAATATATCATCTCATATTAAACAGGATATCATGTGTTCACCTTTTCATAACTAGGATTAAGACAACAGGGTTTTGTGGAGGAAAAGGCAAAGGGAAGGGAAAAGTGGCACATCCCTGCTCAAATCCAAGATGATCCAAACACAACCTCAGAGAGAGGAGTTCTAACATCCAAGATAGATCATGTCTGAGAACTAGAATTTCTTAAACAAAGCTGAAGATTTTAGCAATAGATGATCAACAAAAGTCCTACACTCCCAATTCCTTTACCATCTAGACAATGAACAACTAAATTGAAGTTACTTTCTCTTATTGGGAACATTATGAATACTAGATTATTGATGACACTTCAATCTTACGATTAAACTCAAAAGGAATAGTCATGTTAAGTTCCACAATGAACCAGTGTTTACTAACAGAAAATTTCACACAACTTAAGCAATGAATGAAAACTCCAGAGTATAACAATTCCTTCTAAATAACAAAAAACATAAAAGTTTACTCCAGAGCATATGTGGCAAGCAGATGTATTAGAGAAAAATTTATTCACCAAAAAGGGACAACACATTCTTATCATAGGAAAAAAATCCATTATATACAAAGCATGAAGGCATAGCCCAAACACGAAACCTTGTCAACATACATTTATCTCATGAGCAATGATAACATTAAATCACATTATTGTTCTCTACATTAAGCATTGGATGAACACGTCCCCTCCACCTTTCACAAGGAACCCACATGCAAGGGGTTGAAACACTTCTCTGGACGAAAGGAGGACTTACAAGAAAAGCAAACTGCAGTTTACACCGAATCTACAGCTTCAACCTGTTGCCGAGCAAGGTATTTCTCCCTTCGCTCTTTCTACAAACAATATATATATATATGAATATTATTAGAGGGAACAAAGTTCAGAAAATTCATAAAATCAACCATTTGCTTAAAAATCAACGCATACTTACCCATTCATCTATAACAAGACCTTCACCGACAACTCGTGGACCAGTGTCTGCTAGAGGTTTCTTGTGTTCTTCCTGCGCAGCCTCAGCTTCAGCTAACTGACGCTTCAGTTTTTCCAATGCCTTGGTATAAAGAACCACAATGCAGTTAATGGACATTAGTAAACATCATGGGAACACAATGAACTCACACAACCACAAAAAAATTTAAAATTATTTGATTTAAACTTACAGGACTAGACTGTTCCACATCCAAAAACACAGCATGCAGAACTTGCTCAACAGTTACTTGATCCTTTCTCTCATCGAACTGTATGGAAAAAATATCAAGCAGTAAATTCAAATTCAGCACTGGTTTGTGACTCTCAAAACTAGAAAAATACATCCACTACCATTAAAATTTAATAAATGACTTTAGTTAAGAAGTCAAGCATATTACTTTGGCAGAAAACCTACAAATTAAATGTAGTTCACAATTATAATCACTTTCGGAGAAAGCTGGCTTCATTAACATCCAAAAAAAAGAGGGATTACTTAGATGCTAAGCCCGTTTTGTGCCTTGGGCATCCATTAGGCCAACGATTTACAATTGCAAGTAGAAAGGAATTTGGTAAACAACACCACATATCGACAAAATTATGAAATTAGAGAATTGGTTGTACTTCTACAGTTTGACCATGCTTAACTAGGCCGCATACTGACTAGTAAGGCACTACATGCATTGTTATCCCTAACTACTACCCAAGGAAACAATCAGCCTCTTGATCGTTTAAAAGATGTGCAAGTCAATCGGCCTCTTGTGATAATTTGCATCACAAACTAAACACAGCATAGGGATTTCTACAATTAGATAGATATCAAATATCCAAGTTCATCAGATAGGTAAAATACTGTAGGGGCCATATGACTCACCAATTCAGATACATAATCCATCCCTTTTTTCACTTTCAAACTCATGATTTTAAACTTGACCTTGCTCGTCTGATCTATTTGCTTCTCATTTTTTTCTGGATGTTCCATGAACTTGAACACTGCCAATCAAATTCAAATACAGAAAGGAAGTCAAATATTCATTAGCTAACTACATATAGAAAGTTATGAATATACTCGTAAATCTTCCATTTACGATAAGATTGCTGTTGGCTTTAGAAGATCTTGGGACCTTGGTGGTCCTTGAGCCTTTAACAACTATGTCTTCAAAATTTTCTTCTTCTTCTTCTTCACTAGAGAAAGTGCAACATGGAAACTTCTAAGAAGGTGTGTGTCTGTGTTCAACAATTGTCTGACAGACTCACACCAACTCTTAACGGACACTTCCCGACATGTGTTAGACACATGTCTAAACATGTCATTATTTTAAAAAATAAATAAAAATTAGACCTGAACATTCTTCGGACACTTCCTTTAAACTTAAAAGTTTGAACAAAAAGTTTTGACACATTAAATACATAGAAGTTTGAACAAAATACCATTTGAAGTTCGAACAAACTTGGAAGTGTGATGGACACACATGTTCATTGCTTAGACACACATTAAACACGTTAAAAGTTTGAAAAAAAATAACACATACTTATTATTCTCTCCTCCTTTAAACTATAGAAATTAATGTTATGTTGCATTTTTTTTATTACTATCTTTCAATGAAATATAGTCATATATATTGTAATAAAAATATAAAATTATATATTTTGTGTGGGTCCTGCAGGTCAATTTGTCAACGTGTCCGTGCCCGTATATGTGCTTCTTAAGTGCTAACTACGCTAAGTAACAACAAATGTTAAAGCAAAACACCCGTGACAACTCAATCGAGATCCAATACAGCACCCATTGAAACAAAAGTTACAATTTCGAAGAAAAAGATAATCAAACAAGAGACTGTTACCGGTTGCAATAAGGCTTTCACCAGGAGCAAGGATACCTCCAGGTGGTCGCATGTAACAGCTCTTTGGCGCAGTAGTTTGAAACTAAAACATGACAAACAAATTAGAATAGGAATTTCAATGATAAAGCTTTATGGTCACAAATAGAACAATGACGCAAAGGGTATCAAACTTTACAGTTTCTCACTGAATATGTTGTGCTTTCAATTAAATCTAACTACACGTTGATAGTTTATCACGGCAAAATCACTGTAATTGGGATTAAAAAGAAAAAAAAAAAATCTGCAATCTAACATACAGTTATGAGAAATGAGCCCTGTTGCATTAAAATATCCATGTTTCTCGATAAAAAAAATTAAAACGGTTATACGAATGAAATTTACGCAACATTCAAATGCTACGCACATTCAATATGGATAGACAATCTATAAACAAAATGAGTACACCAAATAAAGAATCAAAATCTATACCTTGAAAGCAACATGAGACCTGCTAGTGTTCTTAATCCTAACAGCACTTCTGACCTGCTTACCCAGTTCATCTATAAGTCAAGACAAAAACAAAACAAGCAATTAGGCAACTGAAAATAATATGTAAAATTCTTAAAAGCAGTCTTAAGTACATGAGCTATTCGAGCCAGAGTACCTGCGTGATTTGGAAAAAAAAGAAAAAAGCAAATGCATTTCTCTTGGTTCATCTCACTTGTTTTGATTAGTAAAGTGGAGAGAAATGAGGTGAAATAGAAAGAAATTGAGACAAATCCATTTCTCTTACAACTCTCATTTTGAATCTCTTGCAAGCAGAAAGATTGGCAGAGGGGAAAAAAATCAAAACATTACTATCTTGTCATAATATCAAAATTGCCCCTTTAGATATATATAGAAAAACAAAAATTGGATACTTGTAAACTGTTTTTTGGTAACATAACATGAAATAATTTTATTAACCAAACAAAACAAGACAGGGGAGTGAAATCATCCACTTTTTTCTTCTTTTCTCTCCTACTTATTCAAACAAGAGGGAATCTTTTCTCTTCTGTTTTGAACTAACTTATCTGACCATTTCTTTTTTTTTTTTTAACTCTCCATGGCAAAATTGTCAATCCCATTCTGTACTGGACAGCACGTACCGTACCAAAAGAAAAATAGGGCACGCAGAGTCCATTTTTGTTTCGGTGCAAATCTCGCTTTGTTCTGGTGAGTTTCGTTCATACCCGAAAAAACCAGCAGAAAACTGGAATTCCACGGTATCCTATCGTACACGACCTGCAGAAAATTTCTTTATAAAAAGACAACTTGATTTCATTCTGTTAAGTTCTCTATCTGTTTGGGTACATCATTCAACCTTCATCAATTCGTTTCTCTATCTGCTTGGGTACTTTTTTTATGAATAAGTACAGATATATGAAATCTCAGTTGCATCTTGTTTTTCCTCTTCATATGTGCTTTTGCCCTCATCTGTTTGGGATGGAATACAAGCTTGCAAAATGTATCTCTGAATCTCTGTTTTTCTTTTCTTTTCTTTTCTTGAGTTTTTTTAGCTTCTACCAAAGGGGAATCCTGCTATATGCCCTTCGTGTCTTCCAAATACTCAATAAAATGTCACAAAGTGGCTGGGCTTTCTTGTGATGTTGCTGAATTATGCATCACTTGAGTACTCTCTTATATTTTGATGACTATATTCTACTTACCAGCAATATTACAAACCTAGAAAAAGCAATCAATGGTCTACATTCATTGTGAATGTGAGCCACATCCCACTAACTTTAAATCTACACCACACATACTCCTTTGGGATAAAATTCGAAATAAGTTTTCATGATCCATAACATTTTTATTCTACTTACTACAGAAGAAATGATCCTTATTTACGGAAACATGTTCACATTTGGTACTCATTGTTTTTTTTTTTTTTTTTTGTATTGGGTCATTGTTAGTTTATTAATCTTTTGATTGCATTTTAACTCTCCTCGAATTGTGTTAAAAGTACTTTGTATTGGATAATATTTTTAATAAAAAAATAGTACTTACAACGATAAATCAAAAACTGTATTCTGAAAAACACCGGTATCCATACATACCGTAAAAATGAAAAAAATGGTACCTTATCCGGTATGGGATTGACAACTTTGCTCCATGGTTCCCAAACATAGGGTAATGTTCCCAATTGAAAAGAAAAGTCACTACCTATAGGAATACATATTTTTAGTTCTCTTTCCACTTTTCCGATTTTTTTGGGACCCACACGAAGAAATAAGGAATAAACCAAGCAAATAAACCATCAAAAACACCTAAATATCAGACATTTATAGCCCTTGTTGGTGCAACTTAAGCCTCGTTTGAGAAGATGAGGTTTTAACCAAAAACTCACTACAAAAATCAATCTATTATCTTTACTCTTTGCGCATCATTTCATAAAAAATTTTTAAAAAAAAATCACTAAAAAAAGTCAATTATTAAGGTAGCGTTTGGTAACGTTTACGTTTTTAGTTTATATTTACAAAAATTTTATAAATTAGTTTTTATTTATTTTTAGAAAAACATAAACTACAAAAGCGTTTGGTTTAAACAAAATATTTTAAAAATTTTAAAAACATAAACTAAAAAATATGTTTGTTCAGGCCTAAAATATTTATATTTATTATTTATGACAATGGGCTCATACACATTATAATTGGGAAAAAAAATAATTAAAAAAATTTATTGGAAAAAAAATTTATTTGAAAAAAAAAAAATTTGTTAGTCAAAAAAAAAAAATTTCTGTTTAAAAACTAACATTTACATTTTTTCATCAAATTTATAAATTGAGACACCGATTTATAAACCAAAAAATTATTAAACAAGTTTTTATGATAATTTTTAAATATAAACTGAAAATTGAAAACGAAATGGTTAGGTTTACCAAACAGGCCCTAAACGAACTCTTATTATAAGTTTAAAAAATAATAATCATAAAGCGTAAAACAAAAACTAAAAACATCTCTTCCCAGCTTTTAAATAATTATATTTTTAATTTATTGTCTAATAATATGTAAATAGAAGCTGCACGAGCACCACACAATCTAGTCTGACACAACTCTCAAATTAAAATAAAATATAAAAAGCCTTGTTCGGAATTTCAGCCTAAAATATCATTACAATTTGTCACACTACTCTTTTCTATTTTTTTGAATATATTTTTATAAAAAATTTAAAAACATAGCCAAATTTCAAATCACCCCTAAGAGCATCCGCATTAGCCACGGCAAATTTTAAGCCAAATTATAACTCAAAATCCACTTTTGTATTTTAGCTGACCTCTTTTTTATATACACACTCCATCAAACTCTCTATTCTAAAATTCTATTTCATTAAAATATTATTTTTTATTTTTTTATCTTTTTTAATTTAAATATATTTTTTCCAGTGCACCATAATAGCAGCAGAGAGCTATGAAGCATGGACACGCCAAAATGGAAGCCGTGATAGTGTCAGATACGGGGACATGCCGGGACACGTATGGGACACGGCATCTGGCGTGTCCCCTTAATTTAATTAATTTTTTTGTGAGGGACACGGCGGAGACACGGCGGGGACACGTGTGTCCAAATCTGGACACGCCATGGGACACGGGAGAAGAGTAAATGAAAGAGAGAGTGAGTTCAAACCTGGTCAGCGACTTCTCAGCCTTCGATCTCGAGCCAATCGACCTCCATCCAAACCATCAAAAACACCTAAATATCAGACATTTATAGCCCTAGTTGGTGCAACTTAAGCCTCGTTTGAGAAGATGAGGTTTTAACCAAAAACTCACTACAAAAATCAATCTATTATCTTTACTCTTTGCGCATCATTTCATAAAAAATTAAAAAAAAAAATTCACTAAAAAAGTCAATTACTAAGGTAGCGTTGATAACGTTTACGTTTTTAGTTTATATTTACAAAAATTTTATAAATTAGTTTTTGTTTATTTTTAAAAAAACATAAACTACAAAAGTGTTTGGTTTAAAAAAAATATTTTAAAAATTTTAAAAACATAAACTAAAAAATATGTTTGTTTAGGCCTAAAATATTTATATTTATTATTTATGACAATGGGCTCATACACATTATAATTGGAAAAAAAAATAATTAAAAAAATTTATTGGAAAAAAAATTTATTTGAAAAAAAAAAAAATTTGTTAGTCAAAAAAAAAATTTCTGTTTACGTTTTTTCGTCAAATTTACAAATTGAGACACCGATTTATAAACCAAAAAATTATTAAACAAGTTTTTATGATAATTTTTAAATTTTTTTAAAATATAAACTGAAAATTGAAAACGAAATGGTTATGTTTACCAAACAGGCCCTAAACGAACTCTTATTATAAGTTTAAAAAATAATAATCATAAAGCGTAAAACAAAAACTAAAAACATCTCTTCCCCGCTTTTAAATAATTATATTTTTAATTTATTGTCTAATAATATGTAAATAGAAGCTGCGCGAGCACCACACAATCTAGTCTGACACAACTCTCAAATTAAAATAAAATATAAAAAGCCTTGTTTGGAATTTCAGCCTAAAATATCACTACAATTTGTCACACTACTCTTTTTCTATTTTTTTGAATATATTTTTATAAAAAATTTAAAAACATAGCCAAATTTCAAATCACCCCTTAGAGCATCCGCATCAGCCTCAGCAAATTTTAAGCCAAATTATAACTCAAAATCCACTTTTGTATTTTAGCTAACCTCTTTTTTATATACACACTCCATCAAACTCTCTATTCTAAAATTCTATTTCATTAAAATATTATTTTTTATTCTTTTATCTTTTTTAATTTAAATATATTTTTTCCAGTGCACCATAATAGCAGCAGAGAGCTATGAAGCATGGACACGCCAAAATGGAAGCCGTGGCAGTGTCAGATACGAGTACACGCCGGAGACACGTACGGGACACGGCATCTAGCGTGTCCCCTTAATTTAATTAATTTTTTTGTGAGGGACACGGCGGAGACACGGTGGGGACACGTGTGTCCAAATCTGGACACGCCATGGGACACGGGAGAAGAGTAAACGAAAGAGAAAAGGAGTACAAACCTGGTCGGCGACTTCTCAGCCTTCGATCTCGAGCCAATCGACCTCTATCCAGTCCATTTCGACGATCCAGTCCACTTCAACTTGGAGCTTTCTTTCTCGCCTTCAGCTTCGCATTTGCAGAGCTCTGTCTCTCTCGCCTTCTCTCTCTCTCCCTCGCGATCGCTTCTGTCTCCCTCTTTGTTTCTTCTGTCTCCCCGTCTTTATCCTTGATTCATATAAGAGTATAATATAACTATTATAATAATAACTATTATTATTATATATTATATAATAATTATTATATAACATATAATATATTTATAAGATAATATATACTTATATATATTAATTAAAAAAATAAATATATGTATGTAAAATAAAATAAAAAAATTAATTGGAACATATTATTTAAAAAATATAATAAATAAATAAATTAATTAATGTATATTTATTATAAGATAATATATACTTATTAATAAATAAATAAATAAACACATATATGTAAAATAAAATAAAAAAATTAATTGGAACACATTATTTAAAAAATATAATAAATAAATAAAATAATTAATGTGTATTAAAATAAAAATATTTATAAAAAAATTAAAAAATTTGCCGTGTCCCCTGCCATGTCCATGTCCGTGTCCCCATTTTTTAGAAACTGCCGTGTCCTATATCCGTATCCGTGTCTGTGTCCATGCTTCATAGGTAGAGAGCAACCGTCGAAAGAGGCAAACCCTGAGGGGTAGTCGACCGGCTAGACGACGGATTAGGCCAAAATTCAATAAAACTTCCTTCTTTGCACGCACATCCGGAGGACGTCCGATGAATGAGAATACATAATAAAAAATATATTAACTTATCTCAAAAAAATAATAAAATATTAAATAACTAATGAACAGTATCTCAACAGCTTTAACAAATTCAACCAAAAGTTAATTTAGAAATAATTTATTGAGATTGACGGAGCAAGCAGATTATAATCTGCTAGCTATATTTTACCTTTTTATTATTTTGGTGAGGTTAATGTAGATGCTCTAAATAAGTCATTTAAGGTGTAAAGCAACTCCAATGCTACTTTCATTTTCATTTTTCACTAGTTAAGGCTCTTTATTTTACGTACCTAATTTTTCATCTGCTCCAACATTACTCTTTATTTTATCTATTTATTCATGTAAATCAGACGTAAATTAATTTAAAAAATCTCTCAATGCTCTCCAAATGTAACTAAATAGCTATCCTAGACGTTGAAGTAAATAAAATAACATAAAACTAGTTATACCAAGGTTTAATTCAGTGATAATTAATGCAAAAAAAACCTACAGGGAAAGTAGAGATTTTTGGCCGGATCGAGACGGAGACGACGCCTGGTCGGAAGGAGCGACCTCGCGGCCGAAAAAACTGTATTCGAAGACGAAGAGCGAGGATTCGATGCGACTCCTCCATTTTGGTGGATAGAGTTCTGAATTGAAGAAGAGGACGAAGAAGAAGCTATTCCTGATTTCCAGAACTGGCAGAGCCACCAGAGCGTTCCGTCGGAGCGAGCCTTGTGGTGGTGGTGGTCGTCGTCGGCAATCGCCATGGTAGACGGCGGTTTTAGACCATGAAATTTAGTGTTCCGCCGGTGGAAGCAGTTATGGGAGGTTGTGTATGAGGCTAACGAACGAGACTTCAGCAATCAGATTGACTCTCATCACATCTCATCTCATCTCATCTCATGTGTTGTGTGCTGAGAGAGTTGACTTTGCTGAGTCGTTCCCAAGTGGAAATTGCACAGAAGAAACAACAGAAGACGAATACGGACTTCAAAACCAGGATTTAACTGTAATTTTACACTTTTTGACGTCCGATATTATTTTGGTAATTTGCACTTTTCAGTTTTAAAAATTAAGAAAAAAAAAAGAAAAAAAAAGCGTTTGACTTTTGTGATGTTTTGAAAATGATTTTTTTTTAGTAAACTTTTTTTTATAATTTTTTAAAAAGTTTAGGCTCTATTTGGTTTTAGGAAAGTAAATTTGGCCTGACTTGTCTCACCAGGGCCTCGGCTTGGGTTGGCCTATGTTGGGTAGTGGATTCCTACCAAAATTCGGGTCAGTCTAGGCCACGAGCTAAAAAATTAGGCTTAGGCCTAGGCCTGGAGGATATTCGGACTAGTGGGTGTGGGCTTGAGCGAGTCCAAACATTTTTTTTAAAATTTTTCCTATCAAAATTTTATTATTCTTTACTAAAAATGACACTGGACCTCGGGCAGGCTAGGTCTTAGGGCGGGCTTTGAGTGGGACGAGTCGAGCCAGACTTCAAAATGACGGCCTAGGCCTAGGGTCTCGGACTCGGCTCGGGTTTGGGTCTAACCGGGAAAAGATACTATGGGGGAGGATGTATAATAAAAATATAGACTATTTGTATACGGTCCGGATCGGTTCCAATCCGGAACCGTGGGATTCAATCCGGAACCAATCCGTGAACTACGGATTTTTAATTATTCAATCCGGAACCGAACCACGGATTCAAAAAAGCAATCCAAACCTATCGGATTGGATTGGACTGGATCGGATTACGGATTTCACGGATTCCTTGCTCAGCCCTAGTAATTTGCACTTTTCAGTTTTAAAAATTAAGAAAAAAAAAAAGCGTTTGACTTGTGTGATGATTTGAAAATGACGTTTTTATTTTTTGATTTATTTTTTCTTATTTTTTTTTATTAAACTTTTTTTTTTATAATTTTTTAAAAAGTTTAGGCTCTGTTTGGTTTTGGGAATATAAATTTGGCCTGACTTGTCTCACCAGGGCCTCGGCTTGGGTTGGCCTATGTCGGGTAGCGGATTCCCACTAAAATTCGGGTCGGACTAGGCCACGAGCTAGAAAATTAGGCCTAGGCCCAGGCCTAGAGGATATTCGAGCTAGTGGGTGTGGGCTTGAGCGAGTCTGAACATTTTTTTTAAAATTTTTCCTATCAAAATTTTATTATTCTTCACTAAAAATGACACTGGACCTCGAGCAGGCTAGGTCTTAGGGCGGGCTTTGAGTGGGCCTTGAGTGGGTCGGGCCATACTTCAAAATGACGGCCTAGGCCTAAGGTCTCGGACTCGGCTCGGGTTTGGGTCTAACCGGGCGGGGCCCACCATTGACCACTGGTTGGCTGCAGGCCATTTTTATACTCCTATTTTGTTTCGTTCTAGAATCATGATTCCACTCTCATTCCACTCTCATATTCCAACTTTCTGTTTGATTATAGTTTTCAAAATATAATTCCAAATCACATTTGAAAACATGCTTGGTAACTAGAGAGTTTTTAAATTTTTGGGTTTACTCGGTCGTCCGTGCGGACATCCTTCCAGACATTCGACTGGTCGTCCAGCCAGTTGATTGGAACATTTTTTTTTACAATTGTCACCTGTTATTTGAAAAAAAAAATGTATATTTGTTTTTGATATTTTTTAAATATAAAAATTATTTTTTTAGACCAAAATGAAAAATTATTAGACCATTTATTTAAAATTAACAAAAAAAATTTAAATAAAAATTAATTTGTCATAATAATTTTATAATTTTTAAAAAATAAAAAAATATTTTTAAACAAAATAATTTTAAAAAAATTTCAATCAAATATACAATCAAAAGTAATTTTAAAGCACTAGCTGAATATTTTTTTTAACAAAAAATAATATATATTTGTGGAGAAGTGGTTTGGAAATACTCTTCTGATCTTGGGGAACGCTCGTGATCCTCCTCTAGTCACCTGAAAAGGAATAAACACTCCGGTCGGGGGTGCCGGAATTAGCACTCCGATAGACAAGTCAGTCTCTACACTCAAGAATGCTTGTATTCTAAGTTAAGCATAACAATTCTCACATACCTCCTTCTGGCTGATGTTTCTTCTATTTATATCTTTTCTTCTTTGGGCCTCAGGATTAGATCCATTTCCCACCTCATATTCGGCACATTTTATAATAGACCGATCTTCACTCGGCCCCTTGCTTAATCGGTTATTTGGCCGAGTAGGGTTGGATTTGAGCTTTCGAGCCAATTGCCGAGTGCTTCAAATCTCGACTCTCCCAGATTCGACTATCCGGAATCTCTACGACTCCCAGTTCTAGGCCCCCACAATTTTCCCCCAAGCACTCCACTAATGACAGTTGGTTGAAGTGTTTGGCTTCGAACTCAAAAAGTCAGAGCCGAAATTCGGCGGCTAACCGTATTCCAACGCAAATGTCTGTACATACGCTTCTCGGTTATCATTTCAACTTCCCGCCTCTTTGTACACTTCTATTTATTATGATTTAAAATTTCAACGTCTTTTCAAATGCATACATGCTTTTAGACACCCGTCGCTGGACTGCCTTTTGAACTACCTCTGCAACTTCCTACTCTTCTCTATCTCCTTCGCCTTTTGTAAGTTCTTTCATTCTCTGCTTTGTTTTTTTTTTTTTGGCTTAGCATAATCCTATTAGCTGGGGGGAATGGCGAAACATTTAAAAGATCTCCTCTCATCGGATCGAATTTCTGGCTTCCAACGCCATTTTTTCATTCCTGATGACGTCCGTCTGTCATTTGTGGCAGACGACACCCTCGATACGGAGAGGGTTGATGAAACCACGATTGTCTTCCCTCTTTTATCAATCGCAGAGGGTGGGGTCCGTTTCCCCTTTCACCCACTCCTTAGGGCCGTGCTTTGCCATTGGGGGTTAATCCCTTCCCAACCCAATGTCAACTTCTTTAGGATCGTGATGGGGATTATCGCACTAAATCGCCGCCTTAGGCTTAACCTTGGTATTCCCGCTATTCGGCATTGCTACATTTTGGCCAAGTCTTCTGGTCGGCACGGGCGTTATTTCCTTAGGGCCAAAGACACCGACCATCAACTAGTGACCATGCTTTCCAGCTCTGGGAAGCGAGTCGATGATGTTATGGTCGTCGTCCAAGGAAATTGGGAATTCGTCGAAGGCGAGGATCGCCTCGATCGTATTCCTAGACGGAGGGACGAACCAGGTGGCCGAGTATCTTCTTTTATTTATTTACTTGTTATATTTATAAAACTTTATTTTCGGGACCTCATGGTTTTGCTTTTGCAGGAAACGATTTGAAGAAAGTCTTGACCTCGACTGACGACGCCGTCCTTTCAGAAATCAAGATTGCGCTCAAGTATTTCGGCCGACCGAGTCTTCAGAAGCAGGGGAGGACGGCCCACGTTCTGCTCCGCTACGAGCCGACTTATACGACCTTTTCGACGATAGAAAATATCCCAATTTCGAAGGGTGAGGAGTTTCTTATCGCCCTTATCTTGACTGATTTTAGAAATTTGTGGCAAGTCGGTTGCGAGGGATCAGATTTGGAGCGACCGGAAGTAGCTGAGGCCGCCGAGTCAGATCAGTCCGAAACTGAGGTTGACGAGGCTTTGAAGTTAGCATTTGAAGAAGCTGGCCTCAATTCGGTTGATCCTCCGTCCACTTCGGGTCGAGAGGACCGTCCGCTTGACGATATTTTTTATGGTCTGGAGAACCATCCTGGCGCGTTCCCAGAAGATATGGCTGGGTTGAGCCTCACTAAACTTGCCAAGGCGGTGAATGCGGAAAGGATGGCCGCGCGGCGATGGGCGGAGGAGATTCGGGCTGCCGAATCTCAGTCCCAGTCCTCCTTGCCGGTTATTGAAGGGATGACAAAGAACGAAAGTACCGAGTTAGAACCTTTTATGCAGGCAAGTGTAGAAGCTGAGCAAAGGGTGGAGAAGCGCCCTGCCGATGTCGAGGCCAGCTAAGAAGAAAACCGTGCCAACAAACGACCTCATTTGGAGGAGTCGGATGTGATTGTACCTTTTGTTATTCAGCCCAAGATAAAAAATATGCCGATCTCCTCCGATGCTTCGGTAATCAAAGATCCAGTGGTTACACTCAGCTTGGTGACGTCCGTTTCACTGCCTGCTGACAAGGCAGCTTTTCGGGCAGAACCTGATCTGGTTGCAATTGGGTTGGCTGCGCAATCGGCTCTTTTGGTATATATCTGGACTTCGTCTTTTCCCTTTACACAAATATTATTTTGTTCTTAACTTCCTGTTTTGCAGGCCGTCGGAAGGATAGCCGATATGGGCTATCGCTATCACGATGCCGTCGAGCTAATTGGCCATTTACAAGCGGAGGTTGAGGGCCAAAGGAGTAGGGCGCAGACGGAGGGCGCCCGTGCCGAGGTCGAGATGGAGAGAGCCCGCAATGCTAAAGAATTGAGATCAGTCGCCGAGAAGAGGGCGGATGCGAACGATGACGCGCTTAAATTGGCCCAGGAGGCGATCTCTAAATTGGAGGCTGGGTTGGAAGAGATGAAGGCGGCGAAGGAAACAGCTGACCTGAAGGCTTCCAGCGCATTCGATGTTGGGAAAAAATCTACTTTTGATGAATATGTAGATGAAGTCCCCAAATTTGAGAATCAGAGATTTAAACACGGCTGGCTCAAAGCCCTTGCTGCTGCTGATGTGACATTGGCTACGCCAATTCCATACGAGCAAGTGGATGTTGAGTCGCTAGAGTCTGACTCCGAGGGCTAATTTGGGCGGCTCTTGTTTTTGTTTTAGGATTTGTATGTAATTTTCAACTTTTTATAACTTTTTGTTTAGTAATTTTCATATGTAAAATGGTTACAATTTGTGCTCAGTTTACTTAATGAAAATTCATTTTGTACTTTGTTATTACTAATGAACGGAATTGTTTGGTTGCTATTTTTGAT